GGGGCATTTCGATAAAATAACATCACGTTTTACTTCTCTTATTAATTTTTTCCAAAGAAAATTTCCATATCGGAATATATTCGCGGGTTTTTTTACTTTTGCAAATGTAGGCATTCATTTTGACCGACAGTGTAATAGATGCCAAAGGCAGTTTAAATAATATTAGGGTGTGCAGTGAATTTCTAAATTACTGCATTGCGTACATAAATAAAAAATCAGTAATTAATGAGCTCGATTGCTAACCAATGACCGCATAGTATTCACTTTATAAAGCCCTTCGAAATTCAAATATTTAAACAAGAAAAGTGGCTCCACATTTCCTTTATCGTGATGAAGTAATGAAACACTCAATTCATTGAGTTTTTTTCTCCAGCGGCATCCGATTCCGCGCGATTCAGGTGGTTGAGCAATGTTTCAAGTCTGCGTTCCTATCGTCCATACAAAGAGGAATCGTCTCATGACAGCACTGACAGAAGCTTTACATCAGGCCTCTCGAAAAGTCCCCTCAAGTCTCCCCCAACCAAATCACTCTCCTTTGGGTCTGGAGTTTATGAGACCGAAGAACAATCAGTAAACGATCGAACCAGTATAAATATGAAAGGTCTGGACGAAGTGCTTCAGGAACTTCGAGATGCCAATCAGAATGTAAGTTCAGCGGTTCAAGCTGCTGAACGCCAACGCAGGGCCTATGGATTTACAACCCCTTATCATCTCCAACAGCAACAGCAGCGGCAGCAGCAACAGACAAATGGTTTAAGAAGGAGCACAAGTCCCACTGCTACTTGGGCCTACAAGAGAGATAGTTAAATCTATTCAACGTAGTTTGTATACATTTACTCTTCAATCTCCTGTTTATCTCTCCATCTCTTACTAGTTGCCATAATACATATTTGATTGAGATATCTCCTTTCTTCTGCCCCTAAGAAAAATTTACTGCATCCTCCTGCTTATGGTCACACATACTGGAATAGGAACACACATTCACCTACAAATTTATACACATGTTCCGCCGCCCGTTTACTTCCACTTTCCCAATTTCCTGCTTGTTTAACATCCTATGCATGATAATGTTTATTTGGAAGTTTACCTACTGAGTATTTATAAGTAGATATTTAAATTTAAGAATGGTGGTGTTCAGAGTTTTACTCGTCTTTTTGCATAAATTGTCAATTGAATCTCTTTAAATTGAGCAAAGGTAGGAAATAAGGTAAATAGAGGATTTTATCAAAAACAGACTATTGATAAGATTTCCATTTCATTTAGAAATTAATGGAATAAAGATGATAGTACAGTTGTGTTACACCGATCCAACATGTATTAGTACTACGATCATCAAAACTTGTTGACAGAATTTTATTTAGGGATGCTATGTTATCTATTCATAAATAGTTAAACAATAAATGATTTAGTCTCTAAAATATTGCTGCTTTTTATTTAGTACTAACTATAATTAAGGGTATTTAGTGAATTGGCTTACCGAAAAATGTTGGCTTTAAAATGTAACAGTTTGAAATTAGTGGTGCATAGCCTCCTTTGAAGTAATAAAATACTCGATTCATTAATAAGGCCAATGTACTCTTTTGTGAGTCAAATAAAGAGTTGAATAGGGGCAGATTACAATCTTTGGAATACAGTGAGTGGATTTAATTTATGTGGTTCAGGATTTTTACTTTTAATGCGGTACTCGGTATTATAAGTGTTGAAGGGAATTACACTGATTTTGATGATGAAATTGCAAATAATATCTTGCTTAAAACTTGTCGCAGCTTTAACATTACTGATACTGTATAATACTACTAGTATGGCTGTTTGGCTTGTGCAGATATTGGTTAAAACAGTAGCAACTACGAACTTGAAGTAGGAACTATAAGGCACATAAAAAGAATCAATCATTCCATCAAAAACCATAATGTGGTAAAAAAGTCTTTACTATTTGCCTTACTATTTCAAGAAAATTAAGCATCTTTGAAACGTACTCTTGCATTTTTTTTGCCATTGAATAGCCTACTTGGGATATCGTCTGGCAAATTCATTAGAAATAGTTTTCTGAGTTGTCCCATTAGAAACACACTTAAAAGTGACTTCTTAATAAACTTTTCTGGAATTAAAACAAAAATATATTCTAGCCATGGACTATTCATAACAGGTGTTCATTTAATCAGAGCAGTAAATATTCTTTAAACTTGCACATATCTTAAAGGTAGGGTTGGCTGAAGCCGGATTGCAAAGACTCAATAGGGAAAAACTCATCTCTCTCTACGCATGCGTACACGTCGGCACTTGTAAAATAAGCGGCCTCAAGAGATAACGGGCAAATCCCAGGGAGAATTCCAGAGGAAGAAAATGCCTATTTCACTCATTTTAAGGCTAATTTAGAATATCGCCTGTTGAATAATTCATGGTGGATGAAAAATCACAACACAGAAACGGAAATGTTTTCGTGGTAGCAATAGGATGTGGATAGGAATTTCGAAAATCCGTATTTCGTCTCATAGTCTCATCATTCCTAGTGCCTTCACCATATTCTCCCAGAGAAAAGAGACGGTATTTCAGTGTCCAAAAGCCCGCTCACCTAATCGAATCTGACAGATGTCCATTTAATGTTCACTTTACGATGATTGACATTCTGGAGGGAACTAGAGAGGGGAGAAGGGGGTCGGGAGAGGAAGGAAGTCCGAATTCCAGTTGAACTGTTGTTCAATTTTTAACCTTTAAATTACGCCAGGGTAGTAGCTGAAACGAGGACAAAAATGCCGAAACTGGTTCAAGAATTTGTGATTGAAGTACCAGTTCCTTCAATAAATTATCTCGTGTTTAATTACGTGAGAAAGCATTAGAAAATAAAGACTTCATCCCGCATTTTCGTCTTGCGTGCCAGGACGACAGTTTCGGCGTTGAATTAGTGGGAATATGAAGTGGGAGACAGGTATTGAAAGAAGTGAGAATAAAATATGTGTCACAGCCCTCCGTAGGAAAACTATCATTATTTTATTTACATTTGCTGCACCCAGACATGGAACTTCAATTAGGAAAATTGAAAACCATTAGCAATGATTCAACTTTAGGTCATGCTTTCGAAAATAAAAAAAACAGACACTCACCTATGCGTCAGCAATTTTATTGATATAAGCCTTGGAATTAAGGTATAAAGCATTCATTCTTTTAAAGTTGCAGTTAAAGTGCATGTAAATGCTTAACAGACACTCATAAAGGTGTCAATGTTGGAATTTATTTACAAATGAACTAAATTTAAAGATTTTAATCATTTAATGCACATTTTTCACTTAAGCTCATTAAATTATTATTATTATTATTTTAAATTGGCTTATTTTAACTGTTTCAAGTGCCTAGATACATTAAGTTTAGAATTCGAATTCCCTTGAAATCTAATTTTACCCATATCCAGTTCCACTGATGACACACTAAAGCATGGATCTTTTTTTCAAATGGCAGGCTTTACGATACTTATCATTAGCTCCTTAGTTGACTTCAGCTTTCCACACGGGGGGTTGCATATATAGCAGTTAACTAATAGCAGTATCATAGGTATGTAGGATTTTCTGGATTTGTGTCCTGTGACATCCCTCCAGTATTCCACTGAAAGATCTGTAGAAGTTGTGATTCGCCCTGAGAGCTAATCATAATAAATTGAAGTCAAATGCCGAGTAATAGACTTTTCCGTATGAATATACGTTGTCCAGGGTGCACCATGTGGAGGTAAGTCTATCGCGCACCCCCTAAAGCATGGAACTAGAATTTCGGATACTTTGATGCATACTGCTCTTAATATTTTATTGAATAAGAATCAGAAGACATGGGGGCTGGCAGATTATGGTTTTGTATGTAGAGATTTTACTTGAACGACTTGCGATTGGTTCAAATTCCCTCATATGGTGTGTGACATTCCTTTTTTAAACTTATCTCTATTGGCGATTACTCCAAGAACAAGGGTGCAAATTTGTGAGCAGGAGAATGCATAATCTGGGTTCAACCAAGTTTTAAATAAGTGAACGATTTTTTAGGCTGCGATTTATTCACAGTCCACTAGTATCTGCTCTTTTAGACACTACGTTTTACTTCCATAATGGTTTAACTGAACCTTAAATCATTAAGAAGTCTTTAACGATATTGTAAAAATAATTATTAGCAAATATGTATATTTGAAATAGCTACTCTTGCGAGAATAACTTAATCTGGAGTGTGAAATTTTGAAACACTACAACCTGTTCATATTTCAACTAAAGGACTTGTACTAATCACGCTACTTTTATACAAAAGATACTTCTTCTTAACAGAGGTGAAGCACAGAAGGAAGAAAAGAAGATAAATTACCTTCTTCTTCTTCAATACGGATCCATCGGGCAAGGGAATTGTTTTTAAATCCTCTTTCCAGAATCGCAAGATCAAATAAAGCCCCTCCCCTCTCCCCCCCCTTCTCGTGACCAAATCTTAGGGAGGATTAATTAGTGAGCTTAATGAAGAATTGTGGCAACATTCTTGCATATATTTGAATAGGATTCCGTTATATGGGACTACATCAAAATGAACCTGAATAATTCAGTGGGCAGAGATTGATTATGAGTGTATATTTTGAAGAGTTTCTTAAAGATTTACTTCATCTCAAGAAAGTGCTACCTTAGAAGCCCATAATATAGACATTAATTGTTATTCAGCACTTCCTACGATAGTACAGATTTATTACGAATTTTATTTGTGGGAAGCAAATAACTTCAAATGACAGTAAGTCCAGCTAATAATAATAAAATGAAGTAGGTCAAAAGAAAACACAGAGAACAATGCCAAGTTGTGGCCTCCGTGACGCAATCGGTTAGCGCGTTCGGCTGTTAAACGAAAGATTGGTGGTTCAGTCCCACCCGGGGCGCGGAAGCTACCTCGGGGTACCTCCACGTGGAGCACCCTGGGCAACGTATACTTATACGGCATAAAAGCCCGTTAGCCGGCACCTGAATGCTCACTTCAAAGTACCATCACCCGACTGTTTGTCATACCCGACCACTTCCATAGTACTCACTTCACCTTATCTTTTTCTCTACATTTGTGTCAGTCTCTTTGCATTTGAAAATTACTCTTCTGTTCCTCTCTCGACTTTTTGTGACTTTGATATTCCTCCTCCCTGTGAAATCCGAAGTCTACTAAAGGGCTATTGATAACTATCATAAAGCCTTCCATCTGACATAAATAAATGCATCAAGTTACCTGTTTTGATTTGATTTGACGTCTAGCCTCGGGTTATGCAATTCTTACAAGTAGGTAATTCCCGTTTCAAAATTCCTGTCATACTTTAGTCTCATGAACTGCTACAAATGCATATCAACGATCATAAAGAGTCGGAGTTGGCGCTTCGATTTAATTTTTCTTCAAATGGTTAAGAAGTCGTAGAATCTTTTAACGCGTCCAAAAATTTCCCAATTTCATTAGAGCAAGTTACTTATTAAATAATTACGAATGTTTAATTGAATTGAATGAAAATTTGAATGAAGGCAAAATATGACTTCTCCAATCTTTTGGTGGGGTGGGTGGGGGTATTTACGATTCACTAAACCCTTCGGGCATATTTTGTAAATGCTACTGAAAATGAGTAAGGAGAATGGTTGATAAATTTTGATTCTTTTGTTTTACAAACGCTCATCTTGCACCATTATCCCATTGATTCAGCAATACTTGTGTCACTTTAGTTTCATCTTGTTGAAACAAGATGCCGTGACAGGAAAAGTCTTTTAATTCACTTGGTTTGGGATTAAGAAAGGTATGTTTAAAGGACGTTGCAGATTGGAAGTTGGCAATTC